CAAAAATATGTAGCAGAATACATTTTGGCCTAAATATATAAAGAAATTAAATTTTTTACATTTTTTTTTTGGATTTGTTTTATAGCAGAAACTAAATATTGTTTTTATTTTTTAAATTGTCAGTCTTTTTTTGTTTATAACACAAAAAGTAAAAAATGCAAAGGTGATCAAATACCACCAAAAGAAAGCTCTATTTTTGGGAAAAAATTACATAAATTTAATTTAAGCACAGCGTTGCATGGCTGTGCAATTGTCAGTTAAAGTAATGCAACGCCATATCGTTAAAAAATGGCCTGGTCAGGAAGGGGGGTTAATATTCTCGAGGTCAAGTGGATGGTGATCCTTGTACTGGACGTAACTTTACTGAACCTCTCTACTTAAGGCCACACTGTCATTAAGAAAAAGAAAAAAAAGAATTTAAATACTCGCTCTCGAACACTGCTCTGTTCAAGAGAAAGTCCTTTGCTGAAGTCTGCTGGAAAAATCAACATTTCTACGTGGTCCTCTATAGAGCTCTGTTGTTCTTTCCAACAACCACCACATCACCACTCTGTCCTGTAAAAACATGGAGAATGGAGAGAGAAACCAGTGAGGGCTTTGGGGGATAATCAAGATCACCACTCCAGGAAGTGTAAGTTTCCCAGCAAATGTCACTGGAAGTTTTCTGACGAGTGGAGCCATGTTCTGGTTGTGAGGTCAACAAAAAGGAAGTATTTATATTCTTCATTTGCAGGCATGTTTGCAGTTTGTACTCCTAATGAAAGGGTTGCTTTAAAAAATACATTTCCAACCATGTGCAAGGGGAAAACCCAATCCTGGGCACGGGAAATGTAAAAAAAATAGCATCTTTGCTGTCATGGAAAAAGGAAATTGCATAATACATAATACATTGCATAATTGCATAATAACTCTATGACAGAAACAGTCTCTTTTTATGTAGTAAATCAACAACCTAGATATATGTTGTGGGAAAGAACAGTAAAGCACAATTATTGTGTTGCACTGCTAAGGGCTTAGTAGTGCATGATTACATCCAAAGCAAAATTACAAAGACTATACTTCTCCTTAAGCCTGGGTTCACATTGATGTGGTGCGGTACATCGCATGTGATGCGCACAGGAACTGCACTGCATTCCTGTTCATATCACCTGCGATTTCTATGCGGTGCAATTTGAGCCATACATTTTGTATGGCTCAGATCATATTGCATCCGCACCAAAATAGGACCCTTTTTTTTGTTTGCATCAGAATTGGATTGCATGAGTATTCACACCCATGCGATCAGATTCTACACATTGCACTGCATTTTGTGAACTGATTTTGGGGCATTGTTAACTTCACATACACACCAGCAGCGGTTCACATGAACGGGGTGCGCTTATGATCCGGTGCGGAAATCGCACAGAAACCAGTGCCAATTTCATGCCGCATCATTGTGAACCCAGACTGAAAGTCCAACTCCAGCCTGAACTTGTGTATAAAAAAATGGAATAGAGAAGGGGGAAGGTTAGAACTCTTCTGCCCTGCTTTAATGCTGTACCTATACAAAGGTAGCATAGCGCAACCAAATAGATAAATAAATGTGTAGCACAGCCTAATAAATAAACAAATATCCTTAAATCAGTGATGTACAAAAAAATAGTGTAGTGGAACCAAATAACTAAATAAAATGTTTAGATTGTAAGCTCCACGAGCAGAGCCCTCATATTCCTTCTGTACTGAAATGTATTGTAATTGTACTGTCTCCCTTATATTGTAAAGCACTGCGTAAACTGTTGGCGCTATATAAATCATGAATAATAATAATGTGTAGCACATCCAATAAATAAATAATAATAAATAAATAACTGTCCATAAATCAAAAGCAATCCAATAATGGACTTAATTGTCATAAAGTCCAATCACCAACATGTGTCCAATGATTAATAAATCTTCGTAGAATAACAGCCATTGTGCCAATAGCCTCCAAAAAAAAAAAAACTGGCTGCTCACCACCAGGGTATGACTACTAAGCTAACAATAGGTCAAATGTCCTCTCTCTTTAAGGGGTCAATCATCACCCATTCACAAAGTTCGAAAATGCAGCGACATCCATGAAAGATAAAGGAACAGTCAATAGTGCTCTTTTTTTAAATATTTTATTACTGCTATAGGTAAAAACGCCACTTATAAAATAAGGCACACTGCCATGCTAGGATATACACTCAATGCAACATTACAACTAGGCAAGATGGCCGTGGGATGATGTCTAGGGTTGCCACCTCCTCATCCTTATAATACCAGACACATAGTAATTACACAGGTTCTGTGACTGATTAAGGTGGTAATTAAACTCACTTAGTGCCTTATGTGTACTAAATTAGCCTCAGAAACTGTGTAATTAATATATGTTTGATTTTAAAGGGATGAGGTGGCAACCCTAATGATGTCATGTACGTGGCTCCACTACTATACTTGATACGTCCTGGGTGGCATTTCCTCAGTAGACAGTGTCTGCGCAGATGGATTCACAATTTCCATTATTGCTGTTCCTGACTTGATTGGGAAGGTTTTCCATAGCTCACCAGGCCAAGCAATGTGTGGCACAGGGTACAGCCTGTACTAGAGTAAACTCATAGGGGTTCAAAAATCACCTTTACCATTGGTCTTCTGCACTCTTTAAACGAAAGTAAACACCAGTGATAGTTTACTAGTTCACATATCTTCCCCTGATCTCACTATACACATTTTGTGTACAATCTGATCTGCCTGCACTGGGTTTTAGGTAACCTTAGTGCACTTTTTGAAAAGCACAGTTACAATTTATACTAGTAATAATATTCCAGTGATTAAATAAAATCCAAGCTAGCTGTAACCCACCATCCAATGAGATTATCCAAAAAAAGCTAATTCCCCATAATGCATAGATAAAAATGAGACCGTGGAACAAGAACAGGCATTGCAGAGAGGTACAGAAGACAACCCAAAGGTGGTACTTTTTATAGATAGAATTATCAGTAGTAAGGCTGAATTATTTCAGCTTGGAAAAAAGTCCTCTTTTAGTGCTTTTTTTATTTTTATTTTTACTTTTTAGTGCTGTTTTATGGATTGATACATACAGGGCTTTTTTTCCTCAGACAATAGGTGCAGGAACTCTCCCTTTCCAAGTCAACCCTTGTCTCCACACCCAACCCACCTCCGAGCACTGTTCACCTCCACTCCCTCCCAGTACCGCCCATTTAGAACATACAGAACCAAGTATCATTTTGTGGTGCTAAGCATTTTATGGAATTTGTTAATGATAACAAAAAAAAAGCAGTAATATAGATCCTCTTCAGCCAGCAACAATAGACCCCCCTCTAGCAACAACAGATCTCCCCTGAGCCAACATTATTAAACCCTCCAGCAATCATCAATAATAGACCCCTCTCTCAATAGTAGATTCATCCCCCTCTAGCAACAACAGATCTCCCCTGAGCCAACATTATTAAACCCTCCAGCAATCATCAATAATAGACCCTTCTCTCAATAGTAGATTCATCCCCCTCTAGCAACAACAGATCTCCCCTGAGCCAACATTATTAAACCCTCAAGCAATCAGCAATAATAGACCCCTCTCTCAATAGCAGATCCATCCCATCAACAAGTGACTCCCCAGCAACAATAGATCCCCCACTAGCATCAATAGACCTCCCCAGCACAATAAGCCCCCACACAACAATAGATCCTCATCAGCTGCCACCAAGAGACCTCCAACACACCCCAGCATCCCTTGCCATTTCATTCTAGGTTCACACCTATGCGTTTTCCATTGCGTTGTGCAGAAATGCACAGTAGTCCATTTAACATGATTTCCTATTGGACAGGTTCCCATCTCTGTGTTTTCACCCGGAGCGTTTTTTGGAAAGGGTCAGGGACTTTTTTTAAGCACAAAACATTGCGTTTTTGGTTCTATAGACGTCAATGGAGTTGCTGCAGAAAAGAATGTAGTGGGTTTTTGATGCATTTCACATTTTAATCTGGCCAGCAACAAGTTGAAAAAAAAAACGCAAACCACAGAAAAAACACATCAAACACAAAAAATGCATGTGCAAAAATGCAAAACGCACCGCAAAAAGCACTGCAGAAACGGATCAAACACAAACTGCATAGGTGTGAACCTAGCCTCAGGGCGGAGGCATATATATATGAAAGCCTGGGAGATGAAACGGGGAGTGAGAGGGGAGAGAAGAGAGAAGAGTGCGTTGACTGTGGGAGGACTGAACCAGGCTGTAGAGAGAGAGAGGAGAGGCAAGGAGTCTGATGATCGCTGGCCTTGCCGCATCGTGGAGAAACTTAATCTGTTAGTAGGTGACCAGACGGAACGCTGCAGGCAGGACCGGAAAGTATGTGGAGGCCTTACCAACGGGGAGACTGCCAGATGCTATCCCTTGGCTGAGAAAATCCCAAGCATTATTAACCACTAGCCTACAGGGCACTTATACCCCCTTCCTGCCCAGGCCAATTTCCATATTTCAGCGCTGTCACATTTTGAATGACAATTGCGCGGTCATGCAACACTGTACCCATATGAAATTTTTTTGAGACAGATAGAGCTTTCTTTTGGTGGTATTTAATCACCTCTGGGAGTTTTACTTTTTCTTAAACAAACCAAAAACCACTGAAAATTTTGAAAAAAAAAAATTTTTTTTTAGTTTTTGTTATACAATTTTGTAAATAAGTTATTTTTCTCCTTCACTGATGTGCGCTAATGAGGCTGCAGTGATGGGCACTGATAGGCTGCACTGATGGACACTAATAGGTGGCACTGATGGGCACTGATGAGGAGGCACTGGTAGGTTGCACTGATGGGCATTGACAGGCATCACTGATGGGCACTGAAAGGCAGCACTGATACATGACACTGATTTATGGCACTGATATATGGCACTGATAGGCAGCACTGACTGGCACTGATAGGCGGCACTGACTGGCACTCTTAGGCAGAACTGACTGGCACTGATAGGCGGCACTGACGGGCACTGATAGGCGGCACTGACTGGCACTGATAGGCGGCACTGATGTGCACTGATAGGCAGCACTGATAGGTGGCACTGATTGGCATTGATAGGTGGCACTGACTGGCACTGATGAGTGACATTGAAAGGCAGCTCAGATGGGCACTGATATGTGGCATTGATGTGCACTGATATGTGGCATTGATGTGGCACTGATGGGCACTGGCACGTGGCACTGATGGGCACTGACTGCTGGCACTGATGGACACTGACAGGTGGCACTTCTGGGGCAACACTGATCATCAGGGCACACTGATCATCAGTGCCCTGATGATCAGTGCACATGTCCCCTCCGCGGAAAGCTGATTACCGGCTTTCCTCTCTTCTCGAGCTGTCAGCGTGACCGGCATTGCCGTGTTTACATGTGATCAGCTGTGATTGGACACAGCTGATCACATGACCGAGCCGACATCTTCGGCTCTTTCCGTGATCTGCTGTGTCCGAGGGACACAGTGCACCGGCGATCGCCACGCTGCGTGCTCCCTGAGGGGAAAGAAAATGATTAACGGTTTTCAAACTTTTTTACAAATAAATAGTCAGATGAGACGAAAACTGAACTTTTTGGCCTAAAAGCAAACATTGAAAACTAACACTGCACATCGCCCTGAACACACCATCCCCACCGTGAAACATGGTGGTGGCAGCATCATGTTGTGGAGATGCTTTTCTTCAGCAGGGACAGGGAAGCTGGTCAGAGTTGATGGGAAGATGGATGGACTGAAATACAGGGCAATCTTAAAAGAAAAGCTTTTTGAGTCTGCAAAAGACTTGAGACTGGAGCGGAGGTTCACCTTCCAGCAGGACAACGACCCTAAACATTCAGCCAGAGCTACAATGGAATGGTTTAGATCAAAGCATTGACAGGTGTGTTAGAATGTGTTAGAATGGTGCAAAGTCCAGACCTAACTCCAATTGAGAATCAGTGGCAAGACTTGAAAATTGCTGTTCACAGACACTCTCCATCCAATCTGACAGAGCTTGAACTATTTTGCAAAGAAGAATGGGCAAAAATGTCACTCTCAAGATGTGCAAAGCTGGTAGAGACATCCCCAAAAAACTTGCAGCTGTAATTGCAGTGAAAGGTGGTTCTACAAACAGATATTTATTTGTAAAAAATGTGGGAAACCATTTATCATTTTCCTCCCACTTCACAATTATGTGCCACTTTGTGTTGGTCTATCACATAAAATGCCAATAAAATACATTTACAATTTTGGTTGTAACGTGACAAAATGTGGAAAATTTCAAGGGGTATGAATACTTTTTCAAGGCACTGTAATTGAGATTCTGTGATAACTGTTTTCCTTAAGTCCTTAACTCCAAATCAACACAAGCAACAATTGATTTTACGCATTCCAATTCTGTTTATTCTGTGTAACCAAGCCATATTGAAGTTTGCTTTAAACCTTTTACTAGTTTACTTCAATCTGTGTGTGAATTCACTTTCTGGTGGTGGTTTATTTCAGTTAATAGTGTACTGTGGTGTCAGAAGGTGTTGGGCTTTCAGGGTGGGGTCCAGATCCACAGGGAACTACATATATATGTGGACAGTATACTGTACAGGTAACTATTTGCTCGTTAAGTTATGAGTAACACTTACAGGTGTGTATTACCTGTAAAAGAGATAATGGTGCTGCCCCTGACAATGCCTTTATTTTTATTTCTCCCTAAAGGCCCAAAGCCATCTTTGTTCAGGCATCATCTGTGGTCAGTATTTACTAAGAGGAACTAAAATTCTGGCCCTTTAGGTAACGTATTCATGTCAATCTTAGTGGCTGACCATTAGCCTTTGTGTTATTGGCTGCATGCTCCCTACTGCCTACTCACTCACAAGTAAGTTAACCTCTTTGTGTTCGGCCCATGTCAATAAACGGCCGGATGGTTTCTAAACATCCCCCCGCATCCATTGCCTGTGCGAGCTCCCTGGGAGCGTGCGGCACTGTGATCGGTGCACACAGTGTCCTCCGGACAAAGCAGAACACAGATCGCTGTATGTGACTTCTGTGTGAGGTCCCAATTCATTTGATCACTGATTGGCCAATCAGGGATCACATGAACAGTAGTAAACGAGATGTCACTTCCTGACATCATTGCTTACTACTTGTGAAATCTGTGAATGATCACAGAGGTCACATGGTACAAGGCTATTCACAACAGCATTGTACCATGTGACAAGCTGTGACCAATCACAGCTCGCACAGTATTTCTCAATGGCTGCAGGAATGCAGCCAGAGAGAAGGAGAAATTATTGCTTTTTCAGCCTTCACCCAGTAAAAGCAATCAGTTTAAAAAATGAAAACAAAATCTTCATCAGCCCCCACAAGTAGTACAGTGTCACTATGGTGACATTACTGCTAGGGTGACAGGTGTCCGGACTTGAAGTGGTTAATACGTACGTGTGTGTGTGTCTGGGATAAAAACTAAACAAATGCTTCCTCCTGTCTACATGCAAATTCAACTTGTTAAAACAGATCTTGCAGTCAACATATAAAGTTTGCTTAAATTATGATGATCCTCTTCCCATTCATTAATACCCTCTTTAAAGTGTATCTAAACCCAATAAAAAAAATTTATTATGTGGCAGCATACAAGTCTAGATTTTTTTTCAAGCCCTTTCACTTTTATGTTCACCTGGTGATCCTGACTACTGTCTTAAGGTGCATGCAGTTATTACAGCATTAAAGCTGATTTTTTTAGTATGCTTTTATTTTGTGTTTCCTGCTTCCTCTATGCCTCCCCTCATCCCTCCACGCAACACCCTTAACTTCTGCTTCTAAAACACACTGCAAAAAGCTCATAGCATGCAGTGTAATCAAAATAAGCAATTTCAGTACAGGGGAGGAGCCTGTACATCTGTGCAAGGCTTAAAGTGGAGCTTTACTCATCAACATGATAATACATTTTTTTTAGCAAGAAACCAACATTCCACATGTAGCAGTAGTCAATGTAAAGCACAGTAACTGCAAACAAAAATGTAGCAGGTACACAATTTGATATTCTGCAGAATTAAAGTATGTTATAATCAGGTATTACGTTTTACTGAACACTGTCCACAACTGAATTTCAATTTTTATTTAGAGATGTTAAAAGAAAGCCAAAAACACAGTTCTGCTGATAAGTTAATGGGTATTAATCTTGATCAATACCCTAAAAGTAATTCTTTTTTGTAGGGGAATGCAATCTACTAGATTATAGTGTAACTGGTGCGCTCTCTGCTTGTATGTTCTTCATATGAGTCATTTCCTCTTCAAAGCACAGGACAAAAGCCACATATTAAAGTTTTGTAGCTGCAGAGACAGCACCAAGCAAACAATAAAATTGGATGGGGAGGGAAAACAATTCTAGCTTCTGGCAATGACTTAAACCTATTTCATAAAACTCAGTTAGTACACTGAACCCCAATTTTTGTTGCCTACCATGGAGGGCTCTATGTCCAGCTTGATCCACCTTCATTTGCTTGGAAGGTTCACAGGAACATTCCATTACTTGGTATTCTGAGTACGGTATCGCTCTCATGCACCAAACATTCTGCAGCTGTAGAAGCAGTTATTTTGACCGCTATATGAAAGCTGAAAAAGCCATGTAAAGGAGCAGGGACACTTTTTTTAAACACCCAGCATGGTATACTTGTGAGCTGGTGCCTCGAAATCAAGGATGCTGCCTGCCACTGCTGGGAGGAAAAGGAAGCATTGGCCTCCAAAATGCTGCAGATCTTTTTAGCTAAATACAAAGGTCAATATACAGTGGATATAAAAAGTCTACACACCCCTGGTAAAATGTCAGGTTTCTGTGATGTAAAAAAAATGAGACAAAGATAAATCTTTTCAGAACTTTTTCCACCTTTAATGTGACCCATAAACTATACAACTCAATTGAAAAACTAACTGAAATGTTTTAGGTGGGGGTAGTAAACCTAAAAAGCTAAAATAATGTGCTTGCATAAGTGTGAACACCTTCTTTAAAATAGGGGATGTAGCTGTGTTCAGAATTAAGCAATCACATTCAAAATCATGTTAAATAGGAGTCAGTACACACCTGCCATCATTAAAGTGCTTCTGATTAACCCGAAATAAAGTTCAGCTGTTCTAGTAGGACTTTCCCGACATTTTCTTAGTCGCATCCTACAGCAAAAGCCATGGTCTGCAGAGACCTTCCAAAGCATCAGAGGGATCTCATTGGTAAAAGGTATCAGTTAGGAGAAAGGTACAAGAGAATTTTCAGGGTATTAGATATACCATGGAAGTCAGTCATCACCAAGTGGAGAAAATAGTGACATTACCAAGAAATGGATGTCCCCCCCAAAATTGATGAAAAGACGAGAAGAAAACTGGTCTGGGAGGCTGCCAAGAGGCCTACAGCAACATTAAAGGAGCTGCAGGAATATCTGGCAAGTACCTGCTGTGTGGTACATGTGGCAACAATCTCCAGTGCTTCAACATCAGACAGTGCTTCTTGAAACCAGTAAACCCAAAACAGGTGTGTGTTTTTTTAAGGGCAGGACAGCTGTCAGCAACACATCCAATATCATCACACTGATTGGAGTCAAGGTTGGCTCACTCCTGGCTCCAATTAACTCTGGGAGAAGTCATTAAACTAGGGCCTCACTGTCAGGGCAGGAGCTGAGGAACGGACAGGCAGGCCTAATAACCATGTAACGCACTGGCTGACGACAACCACCACCCACAGACCGAAGTCCCTCAGGGTGCGGAGTCTAAGTCCCAGGCTGCCCTTCACCAGGGCCCCTGATGGTGGGGATGGACTTGACGCAGCCAGGAACCAGGTCGCAGCCCCCGAGACACCTCAGTTGTGGTAATGGCCGCTACCAATGGCGTGTAGCTGGAGGAAAAGACAATAGAGTAGTCAGGCAGGCCGGGTCGACAACAACGGGACAAAACGGTACAGGACAGCAGACGAGAATCACAGGTCACGAGCCGGGTTCAGCAACAGAGGGTCAGATCAAAGGAGAACACAAAGAATAGTCGAGTCACAAGCCGAGTCAGATTCCAGGAGAGTCACGAGAGTCAGAACAGAGTTATAGCAACACAAAGTCACAAGACACAAGTGCAAAGAGCATGTGCGGACCACAGGCTTATATGTAATCAGCCACCCCTCTGGGGGATGGACCTCAGAGACCTGAAGGCATAAAATATTCCCACCATGCTCAGCAGAAATCCAAGATGGATGCCAGCACATGGAGTAACATAACCTCTGGGAAAAGGTAGGACCTTGACAGTACCTCCTCCTCAAGGGCCCCTCCCCCTCCACGGCTCAACAAAAGGTTTCTGAGGAAAGCGGGTATGAAAAGCGCGGAGGAGGGCATGAGCATGGACATCCGCGGAAGGAACCCAGGAACGCTCCTCGGGACCATAACCGCGCCAATGAACCAGGAACTGTAATCGACCGCTCACCAATCGAGAGTCCAGGATCCGGCTCACCTCATACTCCTCATGACCGTCAACCCGGATGGGACGGGGCCAAGGCAGAGAGGTAGTGAAGCGATTGCAGATCAG